ATTGTCGAACGGATGATACCAAGGCCTCACTTTCTCCTTTCCCTTTGCCTTCTTGAGACTCGGAGAGTCATAAAAGTCATCAAGAGAAGTGGTGTCAGTTGAATGGTTGGAGGGAGGTGAGGAATAATGATGGAACACACCAAACTCATTCAGTGTGGTGTCATATGTTGGCACGTTTTCAACCGATGGCTGAGTTTCATCGGGAACCTCTTCACATGAGATGGTGTGAGATCTTGTAGGACGATTTATGAGAGGCCTGGATATGTGTGCTGGAAGGCCATGAGTAGATGACGGCAGAAAGTCTTGGAGTGCACGAGGTGCATGTCTTTGACGGCCGCTGCAGCTGAGAGATGGTGCAGGTTCTGGTGTTGCTACCCTCTCTGTGGACCATCCCTGCATGAACTCAGGTGCAGGCTCATTATTCAACTGATGCTGCAATCATTGACTGTGCACGTGCTCAGACATACCATGACTTACCTCGTCATCCCGGAACTCATTCTGATCTCCCAGATCTCTGCTAGCCACTCCATTCCTCTCAGCCCTTGGAACCTTTGCAGCCCTAGCATTTTGCATGTTTGCCGCACGCTTCTTGACAGATGATACGGTTGCTGCCTTGACAGATGAGCATAGGCTATAGTGGATAGTGAGACCTCGAGCATCTTTGCAGGCTTTTTTGCAAGAAAAGCAGATATAGGAAGGCATAATGATGAGCAGTGAGATATACAGGACAATAGAGTCAGTCAACAGGCACGTCGAGAGACAACAGCATGGATGATGTTGTGCGAGGGCAACTCGTGCGCAAAGGCGTGTCGGTCATGTGACCGCATAAAGTCGCTCAGCCTGAAAACTGGCCTCATCTCAGTCTATCTCATCATCTCTCATCTCGGGCCTCATCTCGGGCCAACTCTAACTTTCATCTTAGACCAACTCTAAATCTCGAAACGCACATGGCAAAGGTATGTCATCTCGGCACCTAGGTCATAGACTTACATCTTTGCAAAGCCATCCGCAATGAAGTCAGTGGCGCGAGTGAAGCATTCTGTCAAGTCACAAACAGCCAATCCACCGAAATCATTGACGACGAAATGACCCGCAGGTGATGGCGTTATGAGCACATGACCTAAAAAGAAGGCGGCAACTGTCATCTTCAGTGAAGATGAGGACTCAGGCAGTGAGAGACCACAATGCCAACGGTGAGTTTCATCTTTATCATTGCATCATTTATATGTGGATAATCTGGATGGCGCTTTGGATGATACAAGCAAAGAGCAAGAGATTGAAGTTGAAGATGCAGAGGTCGAAGAGGATGACGATGATGATGATGAAGACGACAATGATGACAAGACATACAAGTTGATTATCACTCAAATGCACCTACGCAAAGTCGGAAAGTCAGTGGTAGACATATTCGCATTCACTACTAATGTGTGTGCATACCAGGGGCCACTTGGAAGCTTGGTGCACAGCGGCGTGCTTCATTCCAAAGATTATGAGACCCTTCATGGACATCCTGATGATCTTGCAGGTCAGTATAGCATGCCATGGCATTGCAGAGGAGTTGTGGGATCTCGATGAATGGCCAGATGTGTGAGTAAATTATTATTTCTGATGTTTTATGCGCATATATGCACTGTTTATTGTTATATAGTGACCAGGAGAAGGCTTCCGAGTTAATGAAGCAGTTTTGCACTCTTCTGAAGATCATTCCAGGCCTGTCAAAGCTACTTCCCAGCCTCGACAATGATCCAGACAGCTGTCACGGCACATTAGATCCTGTGCCCTAAGGCAAGGAAATGGCAGCAAGGTGCTTGCCAGCATCCAGTGACCTGCACAAAAAA